ATCCAGCACAGAAACATCCAGTGGTACGCTGGTGTTTCTGAGCAGGAAGAAGTCAATGATTCCTGATGAACGGGCAGTATACCCGTGTTGGGGTTTTTGGAGCTGCTATTCGTAAATTCACCGCTACATAAATTCTATCAGATATGACTCTAAATGGTGGCGAGCAGTGCACTGCTAAAATTTATTTCTCCATTTAGCACAGTCCCACAGTCATTCCACAGTTTGAGTATGGCATCCAGTTTCGGGGTCTACAAAATTATAACTGTGACTCACAGTGAAATGTTCAGCATTTCTTAATTCCTCTTCCTTATGTCCTTTCTAGCAGTCTGAAAATATTATACTGCCATCCGCAATGTTTTCCTGAATGGCAGTCATCAGTGTTGTAGCACAACAATCGAGATCAGCAACCAGAAATCATTCATTGCTTTCCCAGCATTCCAGAACATATCCTGTGTTGTTTTTCCTTTTTGTAGAAAGACTTCCGTCTACTTCTAAGATTTTTGTTGGCTCCACCAATTTTATTTCTTTTATGAGACATCAAGCTCTTTGCACATACCTCCCTCAAGTAGTTATTCCAATCTACTGTCTTATTATGGCTGATTTTTAACTGAAGCTGGCAAAATGCAATCACCCACAAATTGATAAAAGGAACGGCACTAAAGAAAGAAAAACATGGGCCTTCAAATCATGTTTTGGTTCTCAATCCTTTTTTTTTTTTCATGGCATGAACATTTCATGGCATTTTTTTCATGGCAAGAACAATTCATGGCATTTTTTTCATGGCAAGAACATAAGTAACAATGCCGTATAGGAGCTTTGTTTGAGTCAAAAGTTAACTTCATCGAATGATTTTAAGAACAAAGTCAATTGATAGGAATTATTCCTTGGTCTTGATGAAATCTTATGACAGCCACTTTGTCATTAGGTAATTTCCAAATTATGTAGTCCATCGTAATAAAAAAATGGCAAAATATGGCAAAAAAATTAACATGTGAAGATATTTCGAATGAAAACTGGAAAACTTGAGCCACGATATTTGGCATGTTGTTGTAGCATTGTTTTCTCATTTTTTCTTCATTTTTAACTGATGCCACTCAAGCGGAATTGTACCCAGGAAGTTTTATACTCATTTTATGAAAAATTAAACATATTGATTTCTGTAAGACAAAAATTGACCAGGGTATTTAATTTAAAAATTTGCGATTTTTTATCCATTTTTAACTTGCGTTTAGGTTAGTAAACCTGTAAACGATTATCAGTGCACTCAGTTGACATTCCAGTTATGCACTGCCATTGGTGCAAGCGGAACAGCTCACATTAAAAATTTACGACTGACAGATATTGCATGTATTTAGAAAGAAAGACTTGCTTAATCTTGTAACTGCTAAATGGTTAAATAAGAATAATTTGAGAAAATAAGTTTAAGATGTATTGAAAAGAATGTGTATACTGTAATTGGCATACAAGAAAGTCATGCAGTCTTCAGCGCAGATTTTTCTTAATTTTATTCATGTATTAGGTTATCAGATTTTTCTTAATTTTGGAAAGGGGAGATTGATCATGTAGCAGTGGTGAAAAGGATGCATATAGCAAAAAGGTTACTTTTCTGTTATTGGGACCATAGACAGAAATGCCCATATGTATGCATGTGTGTTTGTATATGCACAGACATATGTACATTGTGCCAAAAAAAAAATTGAAAAAGGAAAAATCTGAAATGTTTCAGATTTTAAATTACGTCCAAAGGGGCATTTTTTAAACATTTTGTAATGATTTATTAAATAATATATTTTACATATTCAAACCATAAAATTCAGTTCTACAGAAATATTCCAAAATAATTTTAAAATGAGCATATCTTTAGCATTTCCGATACAGAGTCTCGTGCGCTGGAGATAAAAATGTTTTTTCGTACATTGTTGCCATTGCTCACTTTAAAGTCATTTAGATTTTTAATAAAAAATTCGCTGAAGTGTTACCAAATATGAAATTGATAATAAAACCAATTTCGAATTGAAATTAGGGCTTCCACGTACCCATATTTCAAGGAACATTATGTTATTCAAATTTTGACGGCTACTGTTGTTTTATCACAATCCGGAAACATACATACATTCATGCAGATTCTGCATTATTTAATTTCTTTAAATATAATATATATGCAGGGCAATAATATTTGGTGCCAACAATTTGAAAAGTGATTCTCCGTTTATATTTTTCAATACGAAATGTCAAAACGAAATTAATACAGTCAAAAGTTGTTAATCCGGACTCGTCGGGACTTCGGCGATTCCGTGTTATCAATTTTTCCGGATTATAATCCGGAAAAATTCATCATCAGTTTAAATCTGGTAAGATGGCATGCAGAAATTATAAAATTAAAAATATGAAACCGTAATTTATGAAATAAAGAACAATTATGATCTAAAGGTATCAAAATTTACAAAAAAAAAAAGCTTAATATTTATTTGTTTACTTTATTAAACATTTCTTTCAATGTAGTTCTTTAAGTTGCTTCATTTTATGTGATAATACTTTCTCTTTAATTCTATAAACAGACAAAATTTCTTATTCAGTTACAAAGTTCCGCTGTTCAAGTCCTATAATTGCTGTGTCGACAATACCGACTAATTTGTCAATCGAAACTTTTTCGTTTTCAATAACCACTGTGTCACTTTCTTCACTATCGGAAGCAAATTATAATGACGAGGAATTCAATTTAAATCATATCAAAGGCGGAATACATCGAGATGAAATACTACATTTAGTAAGGAATTATAAGCCAAATAAAATGAAAACATCTGCCCTGAAGATAAGGATAATGCTGACAGATCAACTTCCAATTCATTGCACCCCCCCTTCCCCGCCGCAGAGCAGCGTGAAATTGATAAATAGATTTCGGAATGGTTAAGTCATTTTTTGCAGCAATTCCATTTTTGTTTAATGGACTTCGAAACATACTTTCGCTTTGTAGATCCTTTACATATTAGTAAATATATATCGGAAATTCTATTTGACATAATCGAAAGTTCAAGCTTACTTTTATAAAATTGCTCTAACAGTTTGCAAAAAATAATAAGCTGGATCCAATTCGAAGATTAAGGAACAATGCAATCTGCAACATTAACTGAATTCGATAATTTTAGCTTAGCTTATACCGTCCATTATGCATTAAATGCGCATGCGTAAACGTATTTTGCGCATGCGCACATGCATATTCGCAGCCGTAAAGGTCTTACGCGCATGCGTCCCATTGACGCATGCGCGTAACGAAATCCGGACCTCACCCATAATCCGGACTTTCGTTTGAAGCTTTGAGGTCCGGATTATGGGTGTTCGAATTAACGACTTTTTACTGTAGTCCTTCAGGGCAATTGCCTGCTTGGACCCCCCCCCCCCCCCGAAAAAAAAAATTCTACGTCTCCCGTTCTACTGGTCGAAATTCAACTTGCGTTTTTCATGTCTCAAAAGGGAGATTTAGGATATGTATTAGGTTTATATATAGCTTTTTTCTAATATAGGTAATTTGACTCTAAATCAGACTTTTTCTGAAATGACATGCCAATTTTTTTTCATATTCCGATTTTATGACTCAAATTATGCCAAAGTGCCAAGTTTTGTAAAAATCGCATAAGTAGTTTTTAAAAAATTTAACTCTCAAAATTTTAGCTCTTCAATGTTAATTGAATTTGATATATATTTATTAATATCACTTTTTTGTTATTAAACTTGCTTGATTCCTTCTTCCAGAATTCGAGATTTAGGCTTAATCCAAATATAATTTGTGCATTTTTTATGATTTATTTTAAAAATTTGTATTTAAAAATAATTTTAATAAATTTTTCAAAATTTTTTTATATTATAACCTATAAAATTTCTACCATCATCTTAAAGTAGATGTATTCCTAAGCATACCTGCAAAAAATTAGAGTTTTTTTATTCAAAATTTCAAAAGATGTACGTGAATTTATATATTGGCACGTTTTGAAGTGTGGCATAATTGTTGAAAATGATACTAACATCAAATGTGGTTTACGCAGTTTGTTAAAATTATTTGAAAGTAGTAATGATATGACTTTTTTTCAACTCATTCACAATGCAAAAAAGGGAAAGAAAAATAGGTAGCCATAAATTAAAAAGTTCGCCAAGTGAATTATTGTTGGCGCAAACTGAAAAAAAGTGCCAAGATAAATTTTTGAATTTCTCCATAAATTTCACACCAAATTTTACAAAATTTAATATTTAGGCATAATTTGAGTCATAGAATCGAGATATGAAAAAAAAAATTGGCATGTCATTTCAGAAAAAGTTCGATTTTGTGTCAAAATACCTATATTAGGGCAATTCTATATATAAATCTAATACATATCCCAAGTCGCGCTTTTGAGACATGAAAAACTCAATTCGTCAATCAGCCCAGTAGAACGGGAGATATAGAAATCCTCCAATTTTTTGCGCAGTGTACTTTCATACAATCACACATACATAGGTACATTTCTGAATCCGGTCTCGATAACAGAAAAGTGTCCAAGAAGGATTGAGAACAGCTGGTCAAGAATAACTCCCATTTTTCTTCTCTTCTGCCAGTTATTTTTCAGCTGTCCTGCATTTCACTCCTACACCTGTACAGGGATTATACATGTACGACCAATGGTGAAATTCTAATGTTTTGTCTATTTCTACCTGACTCCTTTTGTACCCTAAACTACCTATTTGCCTCTTGAGGTCATGTGACCATGTTTTTGAAATTTTTAGTCTTTGGACTCACTCATATTAAAATTATGAGCAAAAGTAGCAAACATTTTTCATTATCAACTTGTATTGTTAGAATGGGCCTGTCCCATGGGCAGTTGCAAACAAATTTGCTTGAATGTGTAATTTTCATGTTTTTGAAGAATATTTTTTTCCTTTTTAAGGAACATTATATATAGTCTTCATTTGTTATGTTTCTTATGAATTTGTCTTAAAACTGGTTTTGTATGTGTAAATTTGTTTCACAGGAAGATGATGAAAATTTCCAAATATGCCTGGATTTTGCTTTGTCAAATTTACTCTATCACACATATCCCGATGTTAATAGTCATGCAGTCAATCGATGGATTTCAGGGTAAGTACCATCAAATATGTAGTTTTTATGCTGAGAGTATGCTTTCTTGATTAAATTGATAATTTAATGTTTTAATAATTTTGGGGAAATACTGAAGTATATTGAATTAAATTGCACTCATAGAATGAAATTAAAAATGAGACAAGATAATCGGTACTTACATATTAATGTAACCACCTTTGTACAATTTTCGGTTTTTTATAAATGAAAAGGTAAAAATTACTTATCAGGGGCAAGTTGCCGATCTTTATGAATTTTTTAAAAACATTCTCAAACTATTGATATTTATTGTAAGTGGCAAACATTATCAACAAATGAAAAAAATGCAAATTATAATTAATAAATAAGGATTATCTGATACATAACAAAAATGAAATAAAAATAAAATTAAAGCATATTTTTCAAGAAATCCTTCTCTAATTTTTATGCTGTCTTCTCCCTGCGTACACAGCAATCTGGTTTTTAGAAATGTCAGAGAATAGCAGAAACTTGTCCTTGTGCACTGTTTGTCTACCAAATGCATCTCATTGTTCTCCCTTTAGTGATTTGGTGGCAAAATACTAGATTCCTGTAGAATATTTATTGCACTTTGTTGCAATTGCTGGAAACGTTCGCAAGCTGTAATTGAAAATTGAGTTGAAGGCAAAAAGTGTCATGCAATTATAAAAACTGTTGGAACTTAGAATGCAACAAAAGTAATGCATACAAAAATTATGATTTTGTTTCATACAAAAGAACGATAATTTCTGCAATTGATTTAGCACAGTAAAATTAATATAAAGTTATTTTGACTTTTAGAACCTTCACAAATAAAAACTCATTTTATTAAATAAAAATTTTTTGTTTTATAATAATAATTAGTAGTTTTTCATACTTTGCAATCTGTGCTGAAATAACATATTATTGCCTAAATTACTGAACTAAAACTTTTTTTTATTTGTTTTTAAGAAATTGTTTGTTTCTGAAAATTGTTCATTCACAGGAATGTTAATTCTAAAATTGAAAGTTTAAAGTAATAATAAAAAAAGAAATAATATAAATATATTTTGCAACTCAACTGAGTTTGCAACTCTAGTTTTACTTAAATTTGGTGCAGATGAATGCAGAATTTGAATATTTCCAAAATTTTCATATAGCTAAATAATAAATAATGTGCTCTTTGCACAAAATATGTACTAAAAATTTTATTTTTCTAGGATGCATGATAGATTTCTCATGCGTTCTGAACTAGAGAAAGCCAAGAACTTTTCATCACTGTCAAGAAAATTGCTAGATAAAATTAATGAATGTAATATTTCAGAAGTAAGTATGTTTTTTCATTGTTAAAGTTATGTATTTCTTATTGATGTCTTACTGATATACATGTAAAACAGTCTGAAGGTTAAGAAAGTATAAAAATTTTGTGAGTAGTCTAGAAAGTCTTTTATTAATTTAGAGAGAACTTTTTTAGCACTCGTAATGGAAACATTTATATATTTTATAAACTGTCATTGATTGGAATGTTTGGGTTTGGCTTTCCCCTTGACAAAGTTTGAGCTCCAAGCTTGTTATATTTTTAGCTGTTTTGCTACGATTTCTTTCTAATTTTCACCTAAGGTATACTTTTTTGAAAATCTTTATAACGAGTTGCCTTTCTTTTGAGTTCAACTTTACTTCTGTAGAAATATATTGTTTCTATTTTTTATTTTAAAAAATTTTTCATGTATTTGAATGATTGCATTTTTTCCGTTCAAAGAAGCAGATTTATTTAAGTAATCCATTATATGTAATATATACAGTGCACATTTTGAAATTCAGACCTTTGAATCATTAACAACCATTTTTTTGTCCTATCTCTAGAAATTTTTTTTTTTTTTTTTGGCTGCTTAATGCTTACGAATTTGATATTTTTTCATAATAAAGCATGTGGAGAGTCCCAGTTCTTAATTAAAATTCTGCCTTGATGCCAAGCTGGTGAATCATTATTTATTAATTTTGGCTTTTAACAAGGTATGACTATCAACACACTTCAGCTTGAGAAATGATTCATGTAGCAATGTCTAAACAACTAGTAATTGTTTAGACAATTTTATCATTAGTAATTGAATACCAAAGAGCATGGTAACCTTTTATGTTAACATTAGGCTTGGCAATGATAGCAGGCTTCAGCTAGAGTCTAGAGCAAGGGTTTTCAACTGGTGGTACACAAAGAAGCAAAGTATTTTTAACTATTAAATCCAAAAATTAAAACCCCAACATCCTGATTTTTTTCTCTAACACTCCTAAATTTATGCAATCTGAGTTTTGTTCAAGAGTGGTGGTACTAAAGGTTTTCAATTTTTGTTGAAATGGTATGCGTTAGTCAAAAGGTTGAGAACCGCTGGTCTAGAGTATATCGTCGAGGAGAAATTAACAAAATTTTTTCCATAAGCAAAAAATAGATTTTTTTCAATGATTTTCATAGACCTAAAGTTTACATTTAGTGCTGTTTGAATTGACAATAACTGATTTGTTATTCAAAGACCAGTGTCAAAGCTGGTGTGGCCGTATTGGGCGGCAAAATTTAGATGAAGCAAAATCTTTAGAGAAGGCACCAAGATGCAAAATTTTTAGAATTTAAGGAGGCAGTTAGCAGTAGAATTTTGGACATACAGAGACTGCACTGGGCTGTAAAATGTCTTGCGACCATCCTAAATAAGCATTGAGTATATGTGGGAATTTATTTGAGACTCAGATAAGACTTAATCATGTTCCAGAAATAGGATAAGTATAATAAATAACTAATATAATTGAAGCTTAACTTTAACTTCGTCAGCGTGCGATAGAATTAAGAGAGAATTTAATGCAACATGTCTTTAGTTGCTAGTCTCATGATACATTGCTAATAGTGTATAGCAGCTGCTAGCTAAGCTTTATGATGATAACTGCAAATTTGAAGGCAATCCATTATCTCAAATAATAAAAGAAAATTCCAATTAATGGATTTTTTCAAAGAAATGTGGGGAGGTGGTAATAAATGAAGATGATATTATAGGAGTTTTCAATTGCAGTGACAATGCCTCTGCTGTCAACCAACTGGTGAAATAATGGCAAAATCTGAAGTATGGTTCAAAAATCAACAAAATATCACTACCAATAATAAGAGAGTGGGTGTTGAATAGTTTTGAAAATGAAAAAAATTCAGTTGACAGTTTAGAGGAAATTCTTGACGTGGCAATTACAAGTCTTGAACATTGGAACTTTGTAACTGAACAAGTAATTATGTCTATCTGTAGAATTAAAGAGAAAGTTTTTTTGTAATGAACAATGAATTGGAAGTTGATCTGTCAGCACTATCCTTATCTTCAGGGCAGATGTTTTTATTGTATTTGGCTTATAATTCCTTACTAAATGTAGTATTTCATCTCTATGTATTCCGTCTTTGGATTTAAATTGAATTCCTCGTCATTATAATTCACTTCCGATAGTGAAGAAAGTGACACAGAGGTTATTGAAAACAAAAAAATTTCGATTGACAAGTTAGTCGTTATTCACGACACAGCAATTACAGGACTCGAACAGTGGAACTTTGTAACTGAAAGAGAAATTTTGTCTGTTTATAGAATTAAAGAGAAAGTATTAGCACAAAAAAACGAAGCAACTTAAACAACTTACATTGATAGAAATGTTTACTAAAAAGTATACAAATAAATATTAAGTTTTTTTTTTTTTTTTTGTAAATTTTGATACCCTTTAGATCATAATTGTTCTTTGTTTCATAAATTACAGTTTCATATTTTTAGTTTTATAATTTCTGCATGCCATCTTACCAGATATAAACTGATGATCTATAATCCGGAAAAATCGATAATCCGGAATCGCCGAAGTCCCTACGAGTCCGGATTTACGACTTTTGACTGTATTAACTAATCATAGCTTGTTCCTAGAATCACACCTACTCTAGCATAAATACTTCTGGCGAGCTAAACTATGTCTTAATTCTATGTCATTATCCTGCTAGCTTCTACCTTGCTAATATCTCCCCACTTTGCTTCTCTAAAATACCTGTCTTATTTCTAAAAATTGATTGTGTATAAGAAATTATCATAATTGTATGTTGTTTACAAGGAATTATTCTAGTGTGCTTGGAAATAAAGATGATAATTAGCTGAACTTTGTGTGGTATGAACTTCTCCCTCTCGCATTACAACTCAGCCATCACAACTGTTCTTCGAAATTATGACATATATATATATGTTTGCGTGTGTGTATGTATGTAATGATAGTCAGCCTATACTGCTAAGTGCTGGCTGAAAAACTCAAGAACTGGGATCTAATTTATTCTTCAATTAATTTACGTTCTGGTGGAAATAGTAGTAAAACAAGCTAAGGTAACTGATTTAAATAAAATAAAACAGTCATGTTTTACAGTTTAGAAAAGCTAGCAAATAAAATCCAAATAAAAAAAAATAATGCAGTAAATGGCCTGAAGTTTACACTAGGTGTTGGGACTAGAGATTGTGCAGGTTTTGCATTTTGCAAATTTCAGGTCATAAAAGAAAAATATTATGTTTATGAAGTATAATTTAGAAAAATTAAAGTAAGCAACAATTTATCTCCTTCTGCGATTTTGGTAGAAGAGAACAAGAGGCATTAAAAAAAGGGGGGATAAAAAGCATGTGAGGTTTTTTTTTTTTTTTTTTTTTTTTTTTTTTGTTCTTTGCCCTCGTTTTTCAAATAGAAGTTTTTTTTTAACTTTAGTGTGCCCTTTAAAGCTCCCGCTGCCAAATTATGCACACTCAACCTCTGTACAGTTTTGTTCTAAAAGTTTCAGATAAGTTCTGAGAGTGTCTTTTTAGTGTTTTCTGTCATGATTTATTTAAACACCCCATTTTGTAATAAAAAGGTCTCCCCTAGCATGAAATATGCTAAAAACATGCTAAATTATTCTCTCTAAGAAATTGGAATTAATAGCTTAAAAATTGTTTTAACTACATTCCTGTTACTCAATATAACCAGATATTTTTGAATGTATATTGAACTGTATCTAAAATAAATTTGTTTTAAATAGAGAAATGGATATTTTGCATTTTGCTTTTTTTGGTAATTGTTATGAACAATTATTTTATGAACCTGAGTGGAACTGTAGTACTTACATATTAATGCAACCACCCTTGGTGCAATTTAGCAATTTTTTACAGCTAAAAGAAATTAAAATTACTTTTTACGTGTAAGCTGGCAATTTTTAAGACTTTTTTCAAGAAATTCCCAAATTACTGTTATGTATCATAAATTCAGATTGTTGTGTACTTGAGAATAAGAATAGAGCACACAGGTTATGTGCATGGTTGCCATTCTTTGGCACAGTTTTAAAATTTGGTTGTACTATGGTGGTTGAAATAATACATACACACTGATACTTTAGCAAATGAATCTGATTTTACAATAGATTTGAGCTCTAGTGATGTATATAGTCATGTGGTGGTACAGTGTAATAAACAGCACTTCAATTCAGAATGTTTACAAGTCCCATATTCGTGTTTTGGCAAGAGCATTTCTTATTTTCTATTACATTTAGGTTTTGAACTTCTGTATTTAGTAAGATGTATTAAATTTTTACATGAATTTTATAAATAAACTTTAATACATTCCATTAATGAGCTTATGATTCCATTGCAGAAGGAGAAAGTATATAGAATACTAGCTCTGCTGTTCCATCTTGCTGGATTTGGGGATGAAAAGCAGGAAGACCCAAAAACTGAAATATGTGACAATGGTATGTTTCAGAATTTTGATCATAAGAAATGGTTTAAAAACAGCATTTATTTATTTTTTTGTATTGCAATATAGCTTTAGGTTTATAATATGTTAAAGACTGCAATATTTTTTTAGTTTCATGTATATTTTAATATATTGAAATTTATTGCTATTTAATATTTAAATAACGTTTTGTGTAATAATAATTTAAGTATAATGTATTATTTATAACATTTAATAATATCAAAATTGCTAGGTACACTCCACAAAAGAAAGGAGGAGGCAGTTCTATATGTACCATTTTACTGGACCGATTGACGAAATTTATGTTTTTTATATCTTGAAAGCGTGTCTTAGAATATATATATGTGTAAAATATAAATTATCTTTCAAATAATAAATTAATTATAGCCCTTTAACTTTCGTTTTCATTCTAAAAATAACAAAGCAATAATTTTTTAACTAAACTCCCTGCAGTTCTTGTGTTGTATTTTATATGTGTTGGGTACGTGCTCAGTGATGATTACAAGATGTACACAAACATCGTTTATTCTACATTTCTCATCTACTATGCTATATTACAGTTATAGTTAAAGATAATAATAGATACAGTTACAGTTACATATATAACATCTCCCTTTTTTATAAAAAATAATAATAGTAGTAAAATTAAACATATTCTTTTAAACAATAAGGTTTCTTAACAGTTCTACCAGATCCAGTGACGTAGTTATGTCCATTTGAAAAATTTGATGATACTATACCTCTTTCACTATTTGGTGACACAACACTTCTGTTAGATTTTGAAGGACTTACAGGCACATCTAAATTTGTAGTGCTCCTACTATTTTCATGTATCTCGGGTTCATCTATAACTTCATTCTCATAGTTGTTTTGTATTGCAAACTCTTCCTGATTAGTTCCTTTAAGAAGGTCTCTTCTGTTACTTTCTACAATTCTTCCATCTGTTCTTATAATCCTATATGGACGTGGTCTTTCTGCTTCTTCTATAATTTTCCCTCTTTCATTTAGTTTTTTCCCTTTCTTTTTTATGTAAACATGATCTCCTGTTTTCAATGGTTTTAATGGTCTTGCATTCCTATCATAACTTTTTTGTAAGGTTTGTCTCTTCAGTAAATGTTGTTTATGGTCTTCATATCGTTTAGCTTGGACAAAATTCTCTTTTATATAGGCATCAATTCATTTAGTTTTCTTCTTTCCAAACATCAATTCTGAAGGTGACTTTAATTTCATCTGAAATAGGAGAGTTACGATATTCCAGTAATACTAAATATGGATCCTTGTAGTCAACTACAGCTTTTTCTAACATTCGCTTGACAGTTTGAATATGTCTTTCATTTCAACCATTCCATTAGACTGTGGGTATTTTGGACTTGAAGTTCTGGTTTCAAAATTCCATCTTCTTGCAAAATCTTTATATTTCCTGCAATTATATTGTGGATCATTATCCGAATATACTATTTTCGGAATACCATGTCTTGCAAAAATTGATTTTCAATTGCTTTATCACTGCTACTCTTGACAAATCTTCCAAATGTCCAATTTCAACATATTTGCTAAAATAATCTATAACTATTAGATAATCCCTTCCTGAAAGTAAAAGATATCTGTTCCCAATACTTCCCATGGACCATTAGGTATTTCTTTAGATATCATTGGTTCTTTAGTATTAGCTTTTTGTAAACTTAAACATGTTTGACAATTCAGTACCAAATCTTCAATTTCTTTGGACATTCCTGGCAAATATAATATTTCTCTTGCTTTGATCTTGCATTTTACTACTCCTAAATGACCATAATGAATTCTGCTTAACATATCTTTTCGTAAACTTCTTGGTACAACAACACAGGAATTTTTAAATATTAATCCATTTGCTTCTGATAGTTCTTCTCTCTGAAGTTAAAATATGGTTTTGGCAGTTCTGGAACCATACATTTTTCATCTGGCCATCCAGTTTTAATTAATTTTCTTAAACTTGTAGTTCTTCATCTTTTTCTGTTTCCAGTTGAAAAACTTCCATTTTAACCATTAGACATTGGTTATACATTCTACAACTAATCCAACATGAGCTTCTATTTCTCCTTCAAAGAAATCAGATCCTTTATCAGTGAATATATCTTGATAATGCATCCGCTATAAAAAGTTCTTTTCCTGGTTTATATTTTATCTCAAACTGATATGGCTGTAATCTTATACGCATTCTTTGTAGTCTTACAGGGCATTTATTTAATGGCTTTTTAAAAATTTATTCCAGTGGTTTATGATCACTTTCCACAGTAATATATTTTCCAAATATATACTGGTGAAATTTCTCACACACAAATACAATAGCTAAAGTTTCCTTTTCAATTTGAGCATAATTCTTCTGTGTATCTGTTAATGCCTTAGATGCATATGCCATTGGTAAATTATTCTGCAGTAAGACTGCTCCTAGTCCTTCTTGAGATGCATCTACAGATAAAACTACTGGCATGTTTATATCATAATACTGTAAAACTGGTCTATTTACCAAGACATCTTTTAGTCTTCTAAATGCTTTTTCATGTGTTGCATTCCAGTTCCAGATAACTTGTTTTTTCAACAAAATCTCTTAAACATGATGTCAATTCTGATACATTAGGTATAAATCTAGAAACATATGTAATCATTCCTAGGAAAGTTTCTAATTCTTTCACATTTTTTGGTGGTTTTATATCTACAAATAGCCTTAATTTTGTCTTCATCTGGTTTTTAAAACCATCTTTAGAAAATATATGTCCCATATATTTCACTTCATTCAGCCAAATTTACATTATTTAAATTAAATTTAACATTCTTTTCTCTGGCTCTGTCCAACAACTTCTTTAATCTTAAATCATGTTCTTTTTTATCTTTACCCGAAACTAATAAGTCATCTATATATATTTGAACTCCTTCTAAATCGCTAAAAATTTCAGAAAAACTTCTGTGGAAAACTTCTGGTGATGAACTCAGTCCATATGGCAACCTTAAAAAACAATATCTACCAAACGGAGTGTTAAATGTAGTAAATTCACAACTTGAATCCGACAGTTTAATTTGCCAAAATGCTTTGTTTGCATCTAAAATACTAAAGACCTTTGCATTTGTCATTTGAGATGAAATTTCTTCAAAGGTTGGTATGTGATAATGTTCTCTCAGTATATTTTGGTTAAGGTGCTGAGGATCTAAACACACTCTTAAATTTCCATCCTTTTTCCTTACTACCACTAATGAATTCACAAATTCTGTTGGTTGGTTAACTTTCTTTATAATACCATCTTTTTCCATTCTTGCTAATTCCTTTTTTAATGGATTTAATAAGCTAAGTGGAATTTTCCTACAGGGTTCTATTTTACCAATTTTTTAATTTAATATGATATGTATATCCAGTTAAATTCTCAGTTCCTTTAAACAAATCTTGATATCCTTTTAAAAGTTCTGGTAACTTTTCATTAGAATCAGGATTTACTGTACAATCCTTTGTATTAGGTTTAATTTTTGCAATTTAGGTAAACCTAAAATAGCTGGAACAGTTTTTATCACATGCTACAACTTGAAATTCTATTTCATCCTTGTCCCCTTTCGATGTTTCACATAATAATTTACATTTCCAAACTACATCAATTGTAGTACCATTGTAATTATTTAAAGTGACTTTTGATTTAGTCAAACATTTCTCTCTTAAATTTAATTGTTTAAATTTAGGCAATGGTATCACATTTGACATACACTGAGCTCCAGTATCCAAACTTAACAAATAAATATTTAGATATGTTACTTTTAGTTTTTCAAACCCATTCCGTTTTATTTTTTGAAAATGGATTTATATCTTCTACTGACCCTAAATATATTCATTACCATTATTATGTAACTCATGCTCTAAATTATTCTGTACAACAACTTTAACATTTTTAAATTGCATGCACATTTAGAAAAGTGATTTTCTTTTTACAGTACAAGCAAATCTTATTATAATAAGCAGGACAGTTGTTTAACTTATGAAAAGTTTCACATTTTCTACATGGTTTTGGATTATTGTACTTATTTCCTTGATAGTTTGAAGAAGATTTAGTACATTGTTGCTTTTGTTTTACATGAAAGTCTTTCTTACAAGGCTGACTTTTTTCCTCTGAAGGTCGAAATTTATTACGTTTGATCGCTTCTGTTTTATTTTCTTCAGTTAAAGTTTTCAGCTGAAGTTCTGCTAATTCAGAACCTTTACGCATTTTAATACATTTCTCCAATGTTAACTGATCTTCCCTTAATAATCTATCTTTGAGATTTTTATTTAGAATTTCACTTACTATTCTATCCCTTATTAAACTATCTTTTAATTCTGCAAATCCACAGTTGCTACTTAATTTCTTTAAATCGGTTAAGAAATCATCAAACGATTCACCTACATGTTGTGTTCGACAGAAAAATATATGTCTATCAACACTTTCATTTGCTTTCGGCATGCAAAAATTTTCGAAAGCTTCAATTACTTTGTCAACATCCTTCTTATCTTCTTCACTTAAATTAAAAGTATTAAATTTTTCAAGTGCTCTTCTTCACAAATGCAATATATGCAATAAAATAGCTACTTTAATTTCAGGTGATTTAGTAATACCACCAGACGCTAACATATAAATTTGGAATTTTTGTTTCCGTTTCTTCCAATTTTCGCTTAAATTTCCTTCGAAACGTAGATTACTTGGTGGCTTTAATCCATCCATATTTAATTTAGGACTTTAAATAGTTTATATATACATATTTTTAGCCACTTCCAATAAAAATAAACAACTCGCTTACCAGCGATATAAGTTTCGATTTCACAGTAAACAACTTCCCATGATGTTTTTGTGTAGAACATCTTTACCGAGGCTGCATGGTTCTTCAAAAAAGATTTTCTTTTTTAATCAACAAGGAGCTGCGCCATGTGTTGTATTTTATATGTGTTGGGTACGTGCTCAGTGATGATTACAAGATGTACACAAACATCGTTTATTCTACATT